TCCCGGTAGTCCGAGACTCGGATGGTAGATTGAACTTCCTGAATACTAAGTGACAACAATCTGGATCCATGCATGGACCACACCCATCAGTGGCGATATATACGCAGGACACAGCAAATGCAAGCACGAGCCAACATATGGCATGCAGAAGTGCCACGCTCTTTTCTTCCCAGCCGTGTCACACGCCACTGTCCAAACTGCCACACACCATTATCATTCCGACCTACATACACTAGCCGGCGGGCTGCAGTAGCGTACGAACTGTATCTAACTGTATGTAGGTTGATGCGACTAAACTTGTAACCAAGGTAAAACTATGTATCCTGCCATATATTATTCCGGAAGCTAACTAATACAGGCCTGATGGTCTAGTAGTATGATTCCTTGTTAGGGTGTTTCACCAATTTCGAGGAGGTCCTGGGTTCAATTCCCAGTCAGGCCCTGAACAGAGTCATCATTTAGAGACTTTTTAGTGGTTCTATCGGTTTGCTTCGAGTTGACAGGTGATTGTTTCTTTTTTTCGATAACTATCCATTAATTTGGCCTAATTTTCAATTGTTGCTTCTCAAATTTCCCATAATGAGTTCAAAAGTTATGGTCATAGCTAAGATTAGTCTTGGGAGGAGGGGCTTGGTGGCCGCCTAATTTTTTCCCCTATGTTGACAACTGTCAGGAGGGGTGACAAGAGCCATAGTTTCCCAAAATATTGCCAAAATAGTTGAAAAATATGTTTTTGGGGGTTCTGAGAATTGCATGCTGAAGAAGTGTTTGAACTGGTTTAGTTAGTTACCAGTACTCCACAAAGTTGCTGATTGAGTAGGAGTAACTTGGTTCAAGGTGCACAAGGGTTCAATGTTCAAATAGCAAGAGCAAAGTGTGCCTGTCATTTATATTCTCAATATGTTACCTTACTAAATAGCAGCATAAAAGAAAAGGAACTACGATTATTGTCAGAAATTCACCCGAAAGTTACTAAGCACTGTTCTGGAGTAATGGTAACTTGGCACCTCAAAGGAAGTTGAGAAGCGTCGGGCAGGCACTAAAGGTGTGAAGGAGTCCAGGTAGGGTCCCAGGTGTTCGTAGTAGAAGTGAGTTTGGATTTAAGTGTTAAGGGGAGGAAGTTGCTTAGTGACAAACTAAGCTGAATGCCTGCTGTAAGTGCAAGGTGCTAGGGTACGTAGACATTGGTAGCGAGAAAGCAATAGTGTACCCATATGGTACTGTAAGCGACATAGAGGCGGTAAGGCGATAAGTGCACACAGCCAAGTACAAGACTTAAGGCTTAGCGATGCTCAGGTGAGTAGGATGCACTAAGTTGAAATCTGAACTCTAGAGTGAAGACTGTGGATCAGTGGGGTGCGATTTGATGATTATCTACGACAAGATAGGTACAATATTTATAGTTGCCAGAAGGCCATCACCAACTGACAGGATGAAGGTATAATAAATGAAGCCTTGACCGGTAAATTGCCACAAGGTACGCTCGGTCGCTAACCTGACGTGGTGTCTACTAGTCAGCAAGGCACAAGTTTGCATGTCAAACCATAAGTGGGTAAATAACCGGTGATTTATGCTTGAGCGAGGTCCCATCAAATAACTCCTGTCTTGGAAAAATAGCATCAGTGATCAAGTTATAGCCTTCAAATGGTACTGAGCACTGATAGGAGTCGCCAACCCTTGATGTGTTGGTGCTGCAGAGCCTAGTGACTGTTGGCTGATTGGCTGCTGAAAGCATTGTGCTCTATTCTATGTTCCATGATCGTCCGCGTGACCGGTCCCGTATGTTCAATCAGGTGTGCTAGCGCGTGAGTTGTCCTGTGACTGGCACGTCATGCCCCAGGTCACATACTGTCATCAAACAAGAGTCAATAGAAATGCTAGGATCTAGCATTGGGGCGCTCAGCCTAGTCATGGGCTTATCAGTGTTTCACCATATTAAGCAGGAGGTTGGAAAGGGTGGGTCTGACAACTGCTATAATAAAAATATCAAGAACCAACCTCTTGCTCATAAATTTGTAAATATTACACTACATCTAAAAAGTCCAAAACTATTGAAATTTATGCAGATTTATGAGTGCTTTTGAGCTTATTTTTTCAAGGTTTAAAGGTTCAAATAAGTCTCAAAACCATCAGAAAACTTTAATTTAAAAAAACACATATATAGAGTCAAGAATAATAGTTAGATTGGATTCCACTTTTGTTACAACCCACAATAGTATTGCTTTTGTTATTTTAGTTGAAATCGACAGATAGTGAAGTGAGACGGGAAACCATTTCCTTACACAGTGCAGCTTTTGAATGAACTCAATACTATTCTAAAATTCAGAAGTTTTAATATTCTACATCTAGGTTTGGGGCTTTTAAGAGTTCTGATGACCTTGAATTTTTATATTTGGCATATCTAGTCAGTATACAAAGGACATTGATATATCATAGGCAATACAGTCAAAGTTGTGCAAAATACCATTCTTATTTGAATTAAAATGCTTTGCATCTACTGTCATGAATTGAATGAAACATAGTTAGACCAAGAATAAGGCTTCAATGCTCTTATGGCTTAGTAATAATATTTTTTTGATATTGATGTATTTTTAATAATAGAAGACTGT